CCCACCAAGGCCCCAGTAGATAGCTGCATGTCATAGGTGCACATCCTTCTAGTTGCTGTATGTGGGACGTGGCCTCAGCATGGCCGGAGAAGCGGTGCATCCCTGCGCGCCCAGTATCCGAAGCCGGGCCGCCAGTAGCGGAGTGCGCGCACTTAACCGCTAAGCCACAGGGCCGGCCCCATGTTTGCTTCTTTAACAGCTTTATCAGGGCGTAACTGACATAAAGGAAGCTGTGCATAACTAAAGCATGCAATTCAATCAGTTTTGATGTCCTTATACACCCGTGAAGCTGAAACCACAATTCAAGTAACAATAATTTCCATCACTCCTAAATGTGCCCTGTGCCCCTTTTGATGCCCCCCCCATTGCCCAAGCAACCACCCCTGAGCTTTCTGACACTATAGATTAGTTTGAACTATTAGAATCGTATAGTATGCACCCATTTTTAACTGGCTTCCTTTATTTGACTCATTACTATGAGATAAATCCTTATTCCTGCATATATTAATAGTTAATTCATTTTTATTACTTAATAGTGTTCCATTGTATGGAAATTTCAGTCTGTTTACAATTCATCTGTTGATGGATATTTGGATTGTTTCCAGATTTTGATTATTACAAATAAAGGTGCTGCAAACATTTACCTATAACTCTGTTTATATGCTTTCATTCCTTTTGAATAAATACCTAAGTGTGCAATGATTACATCATACGGCAGATATATATTTAACTTTTAATAAATTGCCAAAATGTTGTCCCACATGGATGTTCCTCAGCAATGTATAACAGTTTTAGTTCTGCCGTATCTTTGAAAAGACCTGACATGATCAGTCTTTCTAAATTTTATTCATTCTAATAGGTGTGTAATGATATTACACTGTTTTTTTAATTTGCCTTTCCCTTGTAAAAATATGCTGAACATCCTTTCATATGCTTACTGAAATCCATATATCTTCTTTGGTAAAGTTTCAGTTCAAATATTTTGCCCATTTTTCAAAATCAGCTGTTGATTTTACTATTATCATGTTTTGAGAGTTCTTTATATATTCTGGGTACAAGGAGTTCTTTATCAGATATAGGAGTTGCAATATTTACTCCCAGTATGTGACTTGTTTTTCATTCTTTTAAGAGTGTCTTTCAAAAAGCAGAAATTCTTAATTTCTAGGAAGTCCAAATTATCACTCTTCTTTTAATCTTTGAATTGTGCTTTTGGTGTGGTATCAAAGAAATCTTTGTATAATCCACAGCCAGAAAGACTTTCTGCTATGACATTTTTCTGCAAACTTTATATTTTAAATTTCTTGTAGGATTATTAGAAATTTTGAGTTAATATCTGTATACACTACAAGTTATGAATTAAAGTGTTTTTTTTATATATCAATATCAAATGTCTCAGCACTATTGTTGAAAAGTCTTTTCTTTCTCCATAGATTTGCATCTGCACTTTTGTCCAGTTGTGTGGGTCTATTTCTGGACTCTATTCTCTTTCATTGATCCATTTGTTTATCTCTATGAAAATAGCATACTATCTTTATTGCTCTAGTTTTATCAAATGACTTGAAATCACTTAGGATTATTCCTTCAAATTTGTTGCTCTTTTTCAACGGTCTTCTATTCTAGGTCTTTTGCATTTCTACATGAATTTTGGAATGAGCTATTCAATTTACACCAAAAAAACAAACAAATGCTTACTATGATTGAGATTAGAATTGCAGTGAATTAATAAATATCTTTAGGAAGAATTGACATCTTACAATGTTGAACCTGCAAAAACACGACAATATGTCTATATTTTTGTCTTCCTTAATTACTCTAAGCATTATTTTGTACTTTTCAGTGTGCAAGACTTGCCCATCTTTTATCAGTTTATCTCTAAGTATATCATATTCTTATTCAATTTTAAAGAGAACAAGTTTGATTTAATAATTTAATAGGTTAAGTTATTAATACATAATTGTGTAAGTGAATAATTAAATATATAATTAAATTTAATAATTTAACTTTATTTCATTTTACACTTATTTTGTATCACAGTGGTTATTTGCCAGTATGTAGAAATACAAGTGGTTTTTCTATGTTGCTCTTGCATTATGCAACTTTGCTAAACTCACCTATTAGTGTAGCATTGTTTTGCATTTTCTATCAGATTTTCTACATAGATGATCTTGTTGTCTGTGAATAAACATGGTTTATTTTCTATTCCAATCTGGGTTATATTTGCTTAGTTTTCCTCTTTTATTTCACTTTATGCAGCCTACAGTAAAGGTGGAAAAGATGTGCCAAGAATGGATATCCTTGTTTGGTTTGATCCTGGGGGAAAGCATTTACTCCTTGCCCATGAAGTATGATGCAAGCAGTAGGTTTTTTGTAGATGGATTTATCAAGTTGAGGAAGTTCCCTTCTATCTTACTGTGTTAAGAGTTTTGAGAATTAAGGTATTTTTGATTTTCTAAAAAGCTTTTATACATCTATTGACATGATCGTATGTTTTTTCTTACTTAGTTTGCTAATAGAGTGAATTACACTGATTGCTATTTGAGTGTTATATGAAACTTGAATTCCCTAAACTCTCACTGGGTCATCATGTATGATCCTTTTCAGATATGGGATCTAATTTGCTAAAATGCTGTTAAGAATTATTGTGTCTGTGTTTATTAGGGATTTTGGTATGTAGTTTTCTTTTCTTGTAATGTCTTCTATCAGGTTTGGTGTTGAGTAATAACACTAGCTTTACTAAATGAATTGGGAAGTAAGAGTTTTTATGAAACTTTTGTTACCTCTAACTTAAATGTTTGGGAGAATTTACCTAAGAAGCAATCATAGAATTTATACTTTTCTTTCAGCATTTGGATCCAGGAATAAATCTTAACATTATCCAAAAAGTTCTTTTTGTTTAATACCCAATTGGATTCCATTAGCTACTGTCATATGTACAATGATTGCGTCTGGATGTGTAAGTGAAATGGGACAGAAATCATTTTTCCATTGTTCTTTTCCAAATTGTCATCACGGTTACTCTAGCCTCAAGGAAATTGGTTATATAGTCCTCCATTTTCTTTTTTTGGTACAAATTTTATAAACTACTTTTGCATGTATCATATAGCTTTATTAAAGGCCACTTGAAAAACGATCTTTGCCTTGTACTTTGAGTGCTGTGTGGACAAACCGAACTTCTTTGATGTTTATGATTTCTTCAGGTTTTCAACAAAACCTCTGCTAGATCAGGTCATTATCACCCAACGGGACTGAATTCATGATAGAAAGAATTGAATAAGTTAACTTTAAAGATGTCACGAAGTGTTGCAAATCTCAGAGGCAAATAAAAATTCCTCTGCATAAAAAAGAAATAAGGTGGGCTGGCCCCGTGGCTTAGCGGTTGGGTGCGAGCGCACCGCTGCTGGCAGCCGGGGTTCGGATCCCGGGCGTGCACCCATGAGCTGCTTCTCCCGCCATGCTGAGGCCGTGTCTCGCGTACAGCAACTAGAAGGATGTGCAGCTATGACATACAACTATCTACTTGGGCTTTGGGGGAAAAATAAATAAATAAATAAAATTATAAACAAAATAAATAAATAAGGTGAATTTTTGAGAATAAATAAAACCTTAATTCACCTTTCACAGACTATACCAATTCAAGTAGATAAAACTATTCATAAGGATGCTCTAAATGGTATTATTTGTGCAGTAGATCTATTTGATGTATATCAAATCTATCTTCTGTGTAAACTGAATACATATTTTAGAGTCTATGGTCTCTAACAAAACTTGACCATATGTTTAGAAGATGGAAGGAAAACTTAACTCCTTTAAATGGAAATAATCCAAAGAAAAATATCCGAGTACAGTGAAATAATGTAAATTTTAATTAAGGATAAATTGCCTCAATACAGGAAACTTTAAAAATATCTCTTAAATATTTTATAAAGCAATAGTAAAAAATGCATAGAATTACCATATCGGAAACATTGAAAAATACATACTACACTGATTGAGTAGAAATATCTCATCTAAAATATTTTTTAATTAATGAAAAATGTTTAACTTAGTCTTGAATTGAAAGAAATTAGAAAAAAAAGGAAAGAATCTCAAGAAAAGCAGGAGGGAATAAAGGAAAAAGCAAACATTATATTCTGGGAAATATATAATTTTAAATCTCTTTTTAAAAATTCAAGAACATGTTTTTAGCTACATAATCAGGGAGAAAATTAAGGAGGTTCAAATATATAATGACATGGTGCAGACGAATGATTTATAGTGAAGGTTTACGCTCTGGCTTTTTTGTTTCAGTTGCTCTGGTTTTAAACTGATTTCAAGGTTGGACTTAAAAGCAAACATAGAGCATTTATTTTTAATCTTCCAAATGAAGAAATCCATATTTCATTAAAGAAAATGATATGCAGCATTTTCCATCTTGACACACACACACACACACACACACACACACGCACTCTAACTTATGGCAGTACATCTCTGCTTGGCAGTCAAACAACACAGTGGCTGGAGGACTGTCTTTGGCATCAAATGATCATGAATTCAAGTCTCAGCTTTACCACTTTCTGGAAGTATTACCATTGTTGACTTGTTTTCTCTTTTTGAGTCTTTTGTTCTTTCTTACATATAAAACATGATAGTCCCTACACCTCAAAATTGTCTTGAGGATGAAGTAACATTCACTTAGCATATAAATTGGTCAAAAAATGTTAATTATTACTAGTACAATTATGAATTCAATAACAAGGAGATCTCAACTTTACAAAGTAGGGCCTTCCATTTGTGTAAATAGTACTACAGAATATAATAAAAGTGGTTGGGACTGCTACAGTTGATTTTCAGAAGCCCATGGGACAAAACGTGAACTCAACTCCTCATGGGATGGGAAGAAGCTGGACAGACACTAGCCTTCAACATAGGCCTTAGCAGCTGCACCGCAAATTAGTGCTTTGGGGAGATGGGTGGGATGTAGAACCATTGGGATTAGCCAGCAGCCTCCTGCGTGGTCATCACTTTGGCCTGAATCCAGCTCTTCTGAGCACTTTGACCAAAGCCATCTGCACCTCCTGGTTCCTCAGACTGCAGATGAGGGGGTTGAGCATGGGGGTGACCAGGCTGTAGAAGAGGGAGACCATGTTGTCCTGGTGTGGACTGTGGTAGGCACCTGGTACCATGTACACGAAAACTGTTGCTCCATAAAAGAGCCCCATTACTGTGATGTGCGAGAAGCAGGTGGTGAGGGTCTTGTTTCGGGCCTCCTCTGAGCACATGCGCAGAACTGTCTCCAACACGTGGCCATGGGAGGCGGCAATGAGGGAAACGGGAAGCACAAGGATCAGCACCCCTGAGGTGGACAGCACCAACTCATAAGCCGAGGTGTCTGCCTAGGAGAGCTTCAGCAGGACTGGCACCTCACAGAAGATGTGGTCCACAATGCGGGAGGCACAGTAGGGGAAGTGCAGAGTGATGGAGGTCTGGATGGAGGCATTGAGCACACCTGCCAGCCAGGAGGAGCCAGCGTGAGCAGGCACACCTGGCACCTCATGAGCAGAGGATACTGCAGGGGGTGGCACACAGCAACATAACTATCATAGGACATGAGGGCCAACAGGATGCCCTCAGCCACACCCATCAGCATCAGGAAGAATATTTGAGCTGCACAACCCCCGATGGAGATGGAACCTTCTCCCTGCAGGAAGTCTGAAGCCATCTTGGGGATAGTGACCAAGGGGAAGCCAACATCAAACAGAGAGAGCTGACTGAGCAGAAAGTACATGGGTGTGTGGAGCTGGGAGTCCATGCGGATCAGAAAGAGCAGAACAGTGCTGCCCAGAAGGCCCATGATAAACATGGTAGCCACCAGGGAGAAGAGAAGCTGATATGACCCTGAGTGACTGAAGAGACCCACTGGAATGAAGTCAGAGGCCACTGACTGATTCACATCTCCCATATTTTACACAACATCCCTTTGCTGAAGAAACAACAGGAGACCTATATCAAGAAGCAAATAAGTTTCATCCCACCTGGCAATGGCCATCAATTGGTAGTGGCTGCCTAGAGTGGTGTCTTGAGAAGAGTGATGAGGTCACAGCTAGAATCAGTAGGAGAAAAGCCACAATCAGTTAGTGATGTCTATCATGGGCATAGGATGGGAGAGTAGCAACTTGCATCTCTGAACAAGATACTCTGCCACACCCCAGTAAAGAGCTACCCACTTACTCTTGTAGTCCTAATTTCTAAATCCATGTGAAAGACAGTCGTGGTCCCAGGAGAATGTTTCAATACCCCTCGTCCTGATGGTCCTAGGGCCAAAGCAGAGGTGAGATTCCAAAAAGACTGGGAAGTGTAATTGGTGATGATGGTGCTGAAGCAACAAATCAAGCACCAAAACAGAGAGGAGGGCCTGAGTCCAAATGCCTGGATGAGAATCCAGAGCAAAGAGACATCTATGACGAGCCAGCACTGGGGTCAGTCTGGGAACTCAGACTGTGATTCTAGGGAGTGTGAACCAAAGAGGCACTTGGGTGACAGCAGGTTAGGGGTCAAATTGACTGGAATTAGGTGGGGGGACA